GCGACCGCTGACTGTCACAAGTTGCGCAGCGAGTTCCTGGCGAATTACAACGAGATCAGCGCGTACTTGAGCGGCAGGAGGGACGCCGAGGCGGCCGCTCATCCACGAGGCGGATCGCAGAACCTGGGGCGGGTTGGTGGTCCATCAGTACAGCAGTCGTACCAATTCCAACACGGTGCGGGCTGGAGTCAGGGCCACCCTCATGCGCCTCAGGGGCCGCCGCGTGGGCCAGGACCCGGAGCTGGGGGGCAGATGCAGGGGCGCAACGATGGGGGACGGGGCTACGGCGGCTACGGGCCTCGCCCCTACGAAAGCCGTGGGCAAGGCGGCGGCCGCGGGGGCAATTTCCCGCCGGCCAACGTACCTGCAGGGCAGCTTGCCAGCGTCCCGCGGCCCTTTTTTCCGGCTCACCTGGCCATCGGGGGCGGAGATTCGTTCGGTGGCGAAAGCAGCTCGGGATGGCAGCAAACGTCGGCGCCGGCACCCACGCCAAGCTGGGCCCCATCACCTTCCGAGGCGGGATACGGGTATGGGCTCGCGGCTCACGGGGGGAACCACAGCGGCGGTTCCTACGGCAACGCCGGCGGGGGATTTTGGCTTCGGCTATTTTTCCGAAGACGGCGGGCCGCACCAGCAGCAGGAGGCCAACGTAACATACTGCCCTTCTGCTGCAGGTCCTGACGCGTATCAGCCGAGAGTCTACAACGAGGCCTTCTACGTCTCGGAGCAGCCGGCGCCCTTCCCGCAGCAGCAGGCGAGTTTTGAGCAGCAGCAGGAGCAGCAGTACCACGGCGTGCCTCAGGCGGCCTCTTCCTCCTCCTCTCCCTCTCCAGATCCAGGCGACGTTCTACCTCCTGCTGGCGACGCCCCTCTTCGTCTCTTCATGGCACGAAGTGTGTGCCCTCGAGGCAAGTTTGATTCTTTTCTTGAGTCTGCGTTTGGTTTTAAGGCGTCTGACGTTTTCGTACCTGCTGTACCCGGTGTTGACCCTGAAATGCTTGCGAGTCACGATAGGAATCACTGTTTTTCTGAGCAAGATTTGCACAGGGTTGCTTCTCCGAGTCTGTCTGCGATGTTCGAGAATTATGAGAAGGAGACCGATTTTCATGAGACTGATGCGATTGTGCCCGCTGTGCCTGACGTGGTTGTGAGTACTGAGTCTGATGGGATAATGCATGCTGTCCATGATGTGAGGGTGCCTTCTATGCCTGCTGTGATCGCGACTGCTGAGCCGGATAAGATTGTGCCTGCTGCCTCTGATGTATCTGGAATGCTAATTGTAGCTCGTGTCACCAAGCGTCCCACAGTAGACAAAGCTTTTCTATGCCAACCGTACATGCCGAATCCGAAGGGTAGCGAGCAGTGGCAGGCCGATTCTGGAGCGAGCGCGATGATTTCGAACCAGATAGATCACATGTACGACATTCGCCACTTGGGCCAGGATGAACAATTTATTCAAATTGGAGACTCGGCTCTCATCAAGGTTGCAGCTGTAGGAAGCTTAGACCTTCGGTTCCACCAAATCGGAGCCGACGGGAAACAGGAAGACATAGACATTACTGTGCCAGAAGTTTTGTTTGTGCCCGGGTGTGGATTCAATCTTTTTTCGGTTTGGAAAGTTTCGCACAAGCATGAAGTCCGCATAAACCCTAGCGGAACTCAACTGCTGCACGGTAAACTACGATTCATCCGTGGAGTGTCAAGTGACTCCCTTTTCGCCTCCCGCCTTCCCCACAAAGATGTGTCTCAAGTGAATGTTGCGCGTGAGAGTTTTCTGGTGAAGCCGGCCTCTACTGCCGAGAGTAGTGACCCCTCGAGAGAATGGCCCCATTCCT